AGTTGCTTGTTGACATTTGCAGCCATGTCAGGCTGGTCAAAAAGGAGACGCCCTTTGTTGATCGCATTTTGAGCCTCTCAGGGAGAAGACACTTTGAACAACTCTGCATGTTCCTCAAAATGGTGGTTAAGCACAGGATACCACACAGAAGAACCACCTGCACAAAATGCCAATAGGGGTTTTGGGTGGTCGTGAAGGATCCTTAGTACACAGAAAGCAACGCTGCTTGATGTCATGTATACAACGGTCCACCAAATGGTCCCCAATCAAACCTTTAATCCACCCACGAGCAGCGCCCAACATTCTTGCTTGCCGTCATTTAAGTTTCTTTTTGCACTCACCCGCACTGGCTTGCACATTTGTCCATAGTCTTTGGTTTCAACAGGATCACTTTGCACTTGTTTGATTTAAGTCCACATTGCCCGCGAGTGCTTTTGCTCAAGGGAAAGTCTGTCGAGTTCTTGTCATAGTGCAGCGGTAGCATGCAGGTTCAATGGCAGGCCATTTGATACTACTTGATCAGCAGCTTTGCTTGCCCATGGATGTGTATGGTGGTTGGTGGCATTGAAACGATCCCCCTTGACCGTTGATGCTTACATCCACTTTGCCCTGTTTTGTATGTGGGCTTCAGGAGTAGCCAGCCTTTTCACCCAGACCAAGTGGGTTCACCCTCGCCGCAGAAAGCCCTACTGCCATTCCTTGCTTTCGAGCTCCTGAGCACAGTCAAGGCCGCTCATGTTTGTTTCGCTATCAATCTGCCGTGATACACTGACATGCACTTTTAATTGGCAAGCGCACAAGGCATCCATCATTCAATTGGCAACGTGTGGATGTTTGCCCCGACCACCCACAGCTTCAACTTAGAGGTGGTTGTTCGCTGGATCTTCTCAAACCGTAATGGCCTTCGCTCTGCCTTCAGGCGTCTGTGCACACGCCTCAGTCGGCTATCTGTTCGGATCGGCTTGAAGTAGCAAGAAGAAAGGATAACAGGCTGAGAACCAACTAGCTTCTTCCTTCAATGTCTCCGTGATATTCCCCGTGAGTTTTGCAAGTTTTGCCCGAATTTGGCCAGCCTCTCCACTGGAAAGCTGAGTGGATGACGGGAGTTTCTCTATAAACCACAATTGTCATGATCTTTCCATCAGAGCTGACTGATGCACAGGAAGGACACCCCGAAGTTGCGAGACACCCAGCGCGCGGGCTTTGGACCTCCCGAGCACATCCGAGGAAGCCGAAGGGCCGTGTTGCTGCCAGCTTTGGCGCGTGGAAGCCCAGAGAAACGGCTGGGGAGGATTCGGATTTCGCCTTCGGAAGTGCTGTGGTTGCTCCGGGCATCATTCTGGGTGTAGCCGTGCCAGGGAGAAGTGTGAGTGAGCGCTCTCAGCGTGTGCCTGCTCATGTGAATGATTCTCCGGCCAATGGTTGGCTTCATTGAGCCAGATCCAGCTCGGGCGGCCAGCAAAATATCTGCAATCTGGGCCTGTTGGCTGTTCTGTTTGCACTTGAGCTTGTCCGACCCTAAGACAGGCTCCATCTTTGGCAGGCATTTTGTTCAAAGACCGAGAGCAGCCAACCCATTCGTGCTGGGAGTTTCTTTGCTTTTTCCTGCTTGTCACATCCTCCCGGAGCCGACATTGCCTGTGAGAAGTGGTTGCTGCTCTTAAAGCAATCCCCTATGAGCTAGGATTCTGGCATCCAACAAAAGTGGCCAGTCAAATCCTGAAGTTATCATCTTTGTTCGCAGCCTTTTTTGGTACTCCTTCTGTCAGGGCTTCTCGAGCATCCCCTGCACGTCTTTGTTGAACGTATTGTCCATTGGTACTATGCAAGGTGATTATATGTAGTGTAGCAGATCCAAGTCATGCGTGGTTATGAAAAGGTGGATTTGGTTTTACTTCAGTTGATTGAAGTTAGCCCAATGGTCCCAATGGCTGCAGAACTTATTGCCCTATCCTTTGGAGGTGCCAAGGTACCAGGCGTTCCACTGCCAAACTTTCCGGTAGGTCAACAGGCAATTAGAGGCGAAAGAGCACAGCACCCTAACCAAAGGAGTTTATCAAACACTTTCGTGGTGCTGGCATTGATTAATTGAACTTTACTTAGTTCATTAATTGATTAGTTGATTAAGTAGTTGATTTATTAATTGAGATGTGCTGTTTGTCTTGTGCTTTTTGCGCTGCTTTTTGTGTTGCTTGCTTGCAATGCAGTGGACCTTGGCAAGGCCTGGCAATTGTAGGACATGGGGAATATGTTGAACGGCAATTGTGGGGAGGTAGTTGCATTGTCTCCAAGTGCGTTCCTGGCACCACGCTGCAGTTTTCGTTCTTTTCCACTGGTCCCTGATTCAAGCTTTTACAGAAAGCAAGTTTCAGTTGAGCCTTTTGGGTTTCCATGTTCTGTCTCTCCCAACAGGTTAACCCTTTGTTTCCTGGGTCCTCCAGTGAAAGCTATAGAGTGCTCAATGTGTTTCTATAATTTCCCTTGCCCAAGAGTTGGCCAGGAAATTGTTCGATGGTTTACACTGCGAGGTGCATGGCCCAGACATAACGTGAGTGCTATTCTCGTAGTGTGCGGGGCACAGCAGTCATGACGCCCCATGTTTGCAGCCGTGTTGGGTCTTGTTCGGCTGGTTTTGGCCATAGACTTGTTTGCGAGAAGGCACATTCGCCAGACCTTGTTGCTGTCTTCGTCGTGCTGCCGGTTGTTTGGTCATATTTCTGGAGAACTTGCTCTTGTTGTTCGCATCTTTGCTTTTGATGGCCTTGAATGAACCAACCGCCCATAGATGACCACGTGGCATACCAATTGTCAAATAGGCAAACAGAGCATTATGGATCAAGTGATTGGTGCCAAGCCGGGGTCAAATGAGTTGCAACTGCTTGTCATTTGGCCTTGTTTATCCTTAACACCTGCGGCGTTGGATTTCCAGCGGTGCCGGAAATCCGAATTGTTCATCACTTTCCCCTACGACCCATAGTTGGAAGCCGCACAGGTCCGCGAGAAGTGAGTGAGCCAAAAGCTGGAGGGCTCGGTGGATTTTGGAGGGTAAAGGATACAAGGTTGCCTTCTTGTGATGTGGCTGTGGGTCACAACCCTGTACCCCTGGTGAACATCAAAATAGGTGGTACATGGGTGTTCATCCGCTCCAAAATGGAGGCATAGGTTATGACCCGTGGCCATGTCGCCTTGTGCTGTCCTTGCGCTGTCCTTGTCCCCAACGCTCAGGACTTCCTCAAGAGAAGTGCGGCGTCAACTGCCACGGCACCTGCTGGCGGGGGCAGCAGCAGCAGCAGCAGCAGCCGACCCAAGGCGCGGCCGAGAGCTCTTTAGGCATGGCCAGGTGTCATCAGCATCTGTTATTTAGAAGCAGAATCTGTTTGCCAATGCAATGAAGCGGCAGACCGAAACAGTGTTGCTTATGGGGTTTGGGGAAGTCTTTGCCCGCTTGTACTATGGGTTCGTGGTGTGGCTTATTTGTTTGACTTGCAACGGCGGTATCGCTCGCTTGCGTTTGTGGCGCTGGTCGGTTGCTTGACGAAACTAGTCATATTTGCACTGAGCTTACCGACCAGTCATTGCAAGCAGCTAGGCAGCTACAAAGTGGGGTCCCTCTCCTGCGGAATTCTGACCATGGCATGGGTAGGCAGCTGACACAAGCTCTGGGATGACTTTCTGAAGCACGGACAGGGACACACTAGATCTGAAGTAATTGTCCCAAATGAGCCCATGGCTTATCAACTACAGATGCATTGCTTCGTGCTTCAGCTTTGGAGCGCTTCAATTCAGGCATGTTGCCGTTCTTTTCGGGGGATAGTTTGCTGGCGGTTAAATGATACGATCTGTTGCGGTCATTTTTTGTGCTTTGTTTGCGGGGGCAGCATTGTTCGCCAAGAATTTGTCTTTTTGATGTTGGCGTTTGCACTCTCCCAACGTTTCCACTTTAGCATGAATCCGGTTTGAAACCAAGGTTGCCTGACGACTCGGCCCCACCAAACACACTCATACTCATGCCCAAAGGGAATGGAAGCTGCTTGAGGTTGCAAGACACATGGAAGTTTTTGCTGGAACTATTAGCCGAAACAATCTGAGTGGGGTGGGCACTCTTAAACCAAGTTACCTCATCCTGGGAGAATATTGTTTGTATTCAGTCCGCAGCCTTCCTTACCCGATATACTGCAAGATGAAGTGTCAAGCAGTAGTGTACAAGATTGTGCTGCCGCACTCTCAATTGTTCCAACTCGAATCTGCACAGAATAATGACAAGTATACAGCTTTGTGCTGCTTTTCACTTGGCTGTTTGCATTCTTGTTGTTTTTGTTAGAGCCTCCCAGGCAACAGATTGCAGCATGCGCACTGAGATGTTGGTGCCATCCTGTCTGCATGATTTCCCCTCAGCCCAGATAGGCTCCGGGGTGGTGCAGTTCCACGAGGGTTCCACCAGGGTTCCACCAGGGTTCCACCAGGGTTCCACGAGGGTTCCACGAGGTTCTGCGAGGGCTGCGGGGTGGTGCGAGCACTAGAAAGAGCACCGCATGCTGTTGGGGATATCACCTGAGCTTATTACTGTACTTGTTTTCACACACACACATACATTGTCATACAGTATTCTGGAAGCTTGTGTGCGTATGCGTGTGCGTGTGCGTGGGTGCGTGCGTGCGTGCGTGGGTGGGTGCGTGGGTGCGTGCGTGCGTGCGTGCGTGGGTGGGTGCGTGGGTGCGTGGGTGGGTGGGTGGGTGTGTGGGTGGGTTGGTGGGTGGGTGGGCGGGTGGGCGGGCGGGCGGGCGGGCGGGCGGGCGGGCGTGCGTGCGTGCGTGCGTGTGTGTGTGTGTGTGTGTGTGTGTGTGTCGTGTGTGTGTGTGTGTGCGCATGATCCATAAATTGTTTTGGCTAAACATGTCGAAGTTTGAGAGCATGCCTACCAGTAGGAATGCCAGCGGGCAAAAAGTGCAAAATTCATGTACTGTGACGTGTTTCGTTGTTTTTGTGGAGCCGAGGTCGTGATGGGAGGTTCAGCCCCATTGACGACGAAGGCGCAAATATCGTTTGTAGCGAAGTCATTGGCATTTGGGCAGCGGATTGAGCATCATTGAAAGAAACTTATGGGACCACGCGGAAGCATGGGTAGTAGAAATTCGCCAGAATCGGAGGTTTGTTGTTTTGCTGTAAGTGGCCGGACCTCCCCCTTTTCCAGCCGAAGGTTTGACTCTTGACCCCACCGAAATCGATCCCGATCAGCGCGACTGGCCAGAAACATGCCAAGCCTTCTGCCAACTGCGAAGCTTTCTCGAGTTCTCAAGTGCGAGATTGAGAAGTTTCTGGTTTCAGTTCGTTTGATCAGTTATGAGGTTTAGCACTGGTGCTTGCTGGTGCTTGCTGGTGGTGGTGGCGGTGGCGGTGGTGGCGGTGGTGGGGGTGGTCGGGGATAGTGATGCTGTTGCTCGGCCCGGAAGCTTGCTGGCTGCATGACGGGCAAACTGCCCAGTAATTATTGACTCGTTTTCCTTGCATCCTTTGACAATTGCTGTTCAACATTAGTCACAAACAAATCACGGGCTTGGATGGAGTCTGTGTTGCCTTGTCTATGTGAAAGAAGTTGTCACCTTATTTAGCTGCTAATGGTGTGCTTTCGTGCGCATTTATTCCGTGTGCCCTTGAGCTTGCTATGCTTGGTCTGCTCGAGCAGAGGGGTTTTGCCGGCGGTTTGTGCTTGCCTCCGTGCCCAAAGCACTGAGGACTTGCGGGATATTGGACCACTTCCAGATGCCCGAATCTGTACAGACAACAGGATCCCTAAAAATACATTTGAGGTACAGAACCACTTTTACAAGCTGATTGAAAAGCATCCACTTGCAAGCAGGTGATCCCATTCAGTTACGCGAAGCAAAGACCGTAATGATCGAGTTGTTTGGCCAGCTCATCCAAAGCAGCGCCAACCAATCTCAACTGGGTATTTGGGTGGATCTCGGCCCTTGGTTTTACTGTGGTGTCTTTGTTTGCAACGTCAGATGGAGAGACGCTCATGCGGAGCAATTGATCATGTGCGTGCATGCGTTTGTGCCAGTATGCTTTGATGATTACACTGTGTCTGAAGATGAAACAATATGAGAGAAACAGACACCAAAAAGCCAAACAACCTGATAGCATTTAAGTTTTCTGTGCTTGACATAGGCACATGACTGGACAAAGTTGCCAATACGCAAGCGCCAAGCGTTTGGTCCACTGCAGGCGTCGATGACCCGGTATCTGTAGTGAGGGCAAAAGACAAGCGGCGAAAGTTGGTGCCGACGGGCCATTTGAGCAGGCGTGCTTAGCGTTGGCCTGTTTGTGCAGTCTTCAGTGGGTGTGCTCACCGTTCACGTGATCCACTTGACTGCGGGGCGAGTGATCCAAGCAGTAAGGCTTAGGGAGCATTGAGGCACAAGTGGTCAAGCGCATGGACGCATTACGCCGTCGAGGTGTAAGCAGCGCAAGTGAGCCAAACAGCGAGGCAGAAGAGTCCACCTCGAGTTGCGTAGTGTGCGTCGTTCCATGCGGCGAGAGTTCTCCGTGCTTTCAGCAAGAGTTTGATTTGCACAGGCGCAGGCAGACCCGCTCTCTGCCGCCGCCCCTCGGGTGGTGAAGGCGCGGATGGTTCGACAATTTTGCAGTTCGGCGCATGGGTCTGACGAGTAAAAGTGTGGGGGTCCAACATGTTGAAGTATACCGGAAGGAAACTTTCATTGCGAAGGGTGCCAGTCACCAGACAATGGGATGGCTGCCAAGGTCCCTGATGTCCCTCAACTCCCCACTTCTCGCGTTTTGTACAAAAAGGGCGCAGTCCTGAAAGTTGGCATGGCGCTTGAAGCAGACCAATGCAACAACCGTTTCTTGAGAGCTGCTTTGCAGTTGAATGAATATATTGAGGGTATGTGGGTGGCCTGTATTATCGCACGCCAAGCAACCTCGCTAGGGTTGCAGCCACTTGTGATCTTGGTACGTAGCATCCTTGTCCCTGCATTTCCTACTGTTGAATGGTATTGTTGATGGCATATGCGGGGACCCAGTTGATTAATCGGGGAACAAATGCCCCGAAGTTTGCAGACATGTAGCTCGCTTGGACAAACCCGCTTTTGACATTGTGGCGATCGTGTGGTTGGCTCTCAGGGAGCCAACGAGCTGGGGGTTGCCATTTTACCACAGGCCAATATGGCTGTGGGTCAAAATTAAGCCACCATGGGACCACAGGTTTAATCTATGTTTCCATTTACCAGGGTTCCCATGTTGGGAAAAACAACTATTTTTGACCCACTTTGGGGGAAAAAACTATTGTTTGACCCACTTTTGGCAAACAAAAATATGTTTGACCCACTTTCAGGGAACAAACTATTTTTGACCCACTTTTGGCAAAAAAAAACAGCGTTTGTTGACCCACTTTTGGGAAAACAACTATTTTTGACCCACTTGTGGCAAAAAGAACATCTTTTTTTGACCCACTTTCGGGGAACAAACTATGTTTGACCCACTTTTGGCAAAACAACAACTATTTTTGACCCACTTTTGGGAAAACAACTATTTTTGACCCACAGGCCGATATGAAACGAGCCGATGCAAAGCCATGCTGGTTTGCTCGAGGCGGGCCCCCTGGATCCAGCCACTGAGAAGTGGGAGATTGCGGAAAGGCGCGCGTCGCGGGACTGCGGCCCGCGTGGCCGAGTCCTTTTGGCTTCTCAAAGCTGATCCAAAGGTAGCAGGTAGTATATGGATCTCCAAATATAGACATAAATATAGACTTAAATACAGACATAAACAACGATAGACATGAACAAATATGACTTACAGATGTGGATAGTCACAAATATAGGCATAAACCACTGGTCACACCCCCAAGATCTGCGCCCTCGGTCTGGCAGCCATTCTTGCCCAACAGGACGGATGCTCTGATTGGAGTTTCTTCACAGTCTGTGATATGTTGCATTTGCTTGTTGCCACCACTTTATCTGTCTTGCACATGTTGAAATTCTGAGAGGTCCGGATTTTTCTTTCTTCGGAAGCAGAAAGTGCTGTAGTCTGACTAAAAAGTCTAAGCCATCCGCAATACAGCACGTTCTGCTTCAAACAGCTCAACCTTGGGGAGGTCCCAGTGTTTCAGGCTGCCAGATCACTGAAATGTCTCTAATTTCAGCTTTCAATAGCAGACAGTGCTGCAGATTCTCCAGGTAACATGAACAAATCCACATTTGGAGGTCTTGGAGGAGTAGATGCCAGAAGTCCAAACATGGTATGCTGTTTAAAGGCTTTTGGGGGACAGTACAGCACTTTCTGCTTCTGAAAGCTGAACATTAGGGAGCTCTCAACATTTTGGGCTGCCAGTGGCTGAAAGTTCTGAGGCGTCCCTATTACTCAGTGGGGTAGGCCAACCTGAATTGTGTGATTTGCTTGAGACATGGGTTGCTTGGGTGACAAGCCGATTCATGTTTGCCAAACCCTTGTAAGTCACTTGAACTTCTTGAGTTGTCACGTCCGCAGAAAGTGTAAACTGGCAGTCTCATGTGCGCACATTCCTTCCCACGTATTGATCTTGTGATTTGCCTATTTGCTGTTCTTGTGTGTGTGTTGTTTGTCTCTTTCTTTCATTGCTTTCTTTGTTTATGTTTGTTGTTTGTGTTCGGTTCTTGTTTGTGGGTTTTCAGGTGCCACTGTTCGAGTTTCGGTCTATGTCTATCCCTGTGCCACTTTTGCACTTCTTGGACAACAGCTAGATGCTGGCAGTTTGGTTTAGCTTTGCACGTTCCAAAGCAAAGCAACTGGAGATAGCTGTTTTCAGCTGGAGACATGCAACGGACGTTTGAGGCAGTCTGCCCATGTTTTTCATTTGCTTGAGATGATGCCATTGTTCCTGGTTGCCGTACTTGGTACTTGGAAATGCCCATCTCTTGTAGATATGGCATGTTGGGTGCCTCCTTCAAAAAGTGCATGGAGGATGCCTAGCAAGCTTCACCACTCGCAAGCCGGCCAACCATGGTATAGCTTTGAGCACTAAACAGGCAGCATGAGCGTTGGAGGCATTCTTTCCAACCAAGCATAAAGGCTTTCCGTGGGGGAGCACTCGCCATGAGCAGCAGTGCTCAAGGTAGTCGCATGTTAGGCATTTCAGAAAGCTAAACCGCCCCTTCGCAGCGTTTTCATTTGACCAGAAGCTCTGGCCACATGAATCATCGGTTAGGCTCCGCCTGCGATCTGGCCACAACGGGCCATGAGCTTGGTCTGAGGGACACGGACAGCGAACAATGGCTTTCTAGTGCATAGAAACCACTACCGGTTTTTGGTCCGATCTACACCAAGGGTTTTATGTCGCGGGTTCCCATTGGCCATCTTTGACATGGTGGGAGGCTAAAGGTTCCTTCCCATGTGCATGCAAGTTATCCGCTTCCAGCAAAGCCCCTTGCCATATGGGAAAAGTGGAAGCCTTTGGGCGGAAGCCGCGAGTCAATGTTTCCTTGGATGTTGTGTAAGCCAGAATCAAAACCCAGGTGCAGCGGCCTTTTTCATTCTTCACATGGCTCTAGGTAGACCATTTTACCAGGTTTTGATTACACTCCCGACTAACATGGAAGCTCTCAAGAAGGTCTTTGGAAATGGAACCAAGTTTTTAAAAACTGGGGTCATTATTTTCACGGTTTCTGGGGGTTGTCAAAGTCAGAAAATGGGGTTGTTCTCTCGATCTCACCACTTGCGGGGTGACTTTGATCACGGTATTATAATTAGGCCAGTAAAAAGGGGTCCTGGGAGCTACGTCAGCCTGGGCCCCGGAGGGTATGACGTCCCGTTGAACTCCATCAGCTCGCGTCGCAAGGACCCGGGACTCTCCTGAGGAGCGGCCGTCAAGCCCTTGGCCTTTTGCGAAGGAACGGGGTCCAAAGGCACCTGGCAACACGTCCATTTGGAATGAGGCATTGCTGTCTTTGATGTTGGACGCATGTTTCAATTGCATCTGACGCAGTAAACACACGGAAGAGAGATCAGGTTTTGACACGGCGCAAGTGGGTCGACCATGTATTCATGGCGAAAAACTGTGCCCATTCTCCTCGTGTCAAAGCTTGAAGATACAATCGGCGAGCTTTGAGTGTGCTTTTGATCCCATGCTCCGGTGCAAACGGGTTGTTTGCAAATGTTGTCTGCCTAAACGTCCTATCACGTCAATGGTCATAAACGTAAACCAACCATAGCTCGTTCCCCTCCCCGCCGTGCAGTTTGGTTTCCTTTGCGATTTGTCGCGCAAGCAGCAATTGGATGATGCCGGATATGTTGACCACGCCTGCCCAATGAAATAGCATGTTAACGGGGACGGTGAAGCATTGTGATGGCAGCGAAGACGTGGTGATGAAGTGACGCTAACCCATGAGTTTTGCGGATATGTGCACATTCCCAAAAACAGAGGAAGAGAGAGAGATAGAGAGAGAAGCTGCAGGCTTTGTTGACAGCGCATGCCTTCATGACGCAAGAGTCACAAAAGGGATTGCAGATCACAAACGCTCAGACTTGTAGACTCCAGACTTGCACAAGGCAACTTGGCACTTTTTCTGCACGCCCAGATCCTGCACAGAACAGTTGAGGCCAACTCAACCCCAAGGAGCAGCGTTTGGAGCACGATAGTTGCAAAGACCCTGCGATGTCCATGTAATTTGAAATGCGGCGTGATCGAACACATATTAGCTGGGACATATCTTCCTGTGTGCACCCTTGCTTCATCCTTTCCAGTTGGGGGCCAGGGTGCAAAGCGGCCGCTTTTAGTGCTGGAGGAACTAATCCATGGTCACTGATTTGGGTATGGGTCAAAATTAATCCACAAGGATATGGCCCGCAGGTAGTCTTTGGTTCCATTCACCAGGGCAAGCCATTTTGGGGTTACCCTGTTTTTTGACACCCCAGCTAAATCATTCGTTATGGTGTTTCCCCAAAATTGCGTTCCCTGAAATGGTTTCCCTTTCACTCCCAGCCAACTTTCGGGTTAGCGGTACCCTATGTTCGACCACCGCCGGCCATTTTTTTTTTCGCTGCGACTCGACTCCTAGACGCCGTGCGAGCCGAGTGCTGGTCCGAAGTGCCCGAGGCGCTCCTCCAGCTTCGACTCGGAGGATGAGAGCTTGGCCAAGCTGTCACAGGCCTTGAGCAGCCGGGGCCCCGAGGCGAAAATCTGGTGACGCCCACGCGTCCAGACAGCGAGCGCCTCTTGGGTCGTTTAGAAATTTCAAGAAGTGACCATCAAGGTGCCCTTTCTTGTGCCGTGGCCGCTGCTTTGCCAGCCAGACAAGGGCTCAAAGATGGTCAAGGATACAATTTCGGCATTTAAAGTTTGAATCGTTTGGTTCTCCACCAGACCGGAAGGGCGCCACCATTTTTGGGAGATGGGTGGACGGAAGAACGCCTGAAGCGGCCCGCTTGAAATGTCCGGACAGTGGCGGAGCCGACCTTCGCAGCCCCCCCGCTCCCGCGTTTCCCCCTGGGACGTCCTCAAAAGGGAAGAGGCTCTCGCCCCCGGCTTCGCCAAGTGACTTGGATGGGCTCTGGGCACAACCCTGCCAAGCTCCAGGGGTTTGCTTCTATGCCTTCCTTAAAGAAAACATAATAGAAAATAGTAAGAAACAGAATAAGACGTTTTTCAATTAGCAACCTGTTGATTCGGACTAGGGCTTCAATACGGGTGTGTTGGACCAAGAACAGCTGGGCAAGCGAACACAAATTGTAGCTGGGGAGCTAGATGCCGAGCGGCTTAAAGGCCTTGAGTTCCAAGGAGAAACCCGAGGAATCCACGTCCCGTATCGGCACGCTTGGCCAGAATGAACCCCAACAACTTCTGCCTATCCTGCCGCCGGGAGCTGCCACCTTGAAAGCAACCAAGCTTCCACCTGACATTGCCAGGCTCCCGTGGCATGCCGAATGCTTCTCAGGTGGAATGTGCAAATTCCACCTGTCAAAAGACGTGTATGGACGCTGTGGTAAATACAGAGATTCCTTAAAGGGCTTGATAAACGCGGTCAAAGGATGGTCAAGCCTGGCCCCCATTGTCTTAATGGCTGCTGAGGCTACTCCCTGAATTTGCCACAGTGCTGATACGGCGAGCTGGGGGTTGCCCGCGCCAATCAACAAATTAGTGCATTGCCGGTATTTTGGTAAGTTCGGGCCACAGGCAAACACCAACTCCAATCTTTTGCTTTGCAAAACAGAACTCGAAATGGTCTGCTACTATATGTAAAAAGTAGTACCCTCCCACCCAATAGCATGGAACCTGACGTTTCGGGGTCCTGGAAGACCAGCTTCTCAAGGGGCCCCTTGGCGGGTTCCATGTTGGCGGGCTGTTGAACAGAAACTCAAAGTCAGTTGACCCCAAGCCTTCTGCCTTTCGATGGATAGGTCTGGAGAGAACTCGTACTGCCTTGGAGAAACGGCAGCTGGAGGCGGATGGCAAGTGGCCAATTGCTTTGCAGCCTCGGTTCTTTTCGGGGGTTTGGTATGTGAATGAGGGTAGTTTGCCCACGGACACAGAGCTCGTGGCGAGCCGAATTCGCGAGGGCATCCGTGAAGGATCCTAGGCTTCGTTTGGAACCCTTGCAAATGGCCAAGCTAAGATTTCAAGATTGGGACACGCACGAGCATCCGTGCCGATCCAAGAGTGGTGGTCGTGTGAGTTTGTATTTCGGAACTCCTTGGCCCAAATGGTATACTTGAGACTCCTGTTGCCGTTTGGAATTTGAATCGTACACACAGGCGGCGCGCAATAAAGGGGCTGAAGAATGGCAGAACATGATTCTCCCACGATGAGGTGGGTCAAACTAGGGGCCGAAATTATGATTACCCTTTTGGTTTCCATTGTCATGGTCAACTAGACCACGGTTGGCCCGAAAGCAGAACATCGCAAGCGAGGTCGGCCCAACGCTGCAGGATGCGTTCTTTTTCCCTACACGAAGCATTCGTGAAGCAAGCGCGAGACAGCACCAGGCAAGGTGCTCTGCGCAAACTGGTCGGTGCAAGTTGGTCTGCGCAAGTTGCTCTACGCAAGTTGCACTGTGCAAGTTGCTCTGCGCAAGTTGCTCCGCGCAAGTTGCTCCGGCAAGTTGGTCCCTGCAAGTGGCTCCCTGCAAGTTGCTCTGTGCAAATTGCGCTCCCTGCAAGTTGCTCTGTGCAAGCTGCTCTGTGCAAGTTGCTCTGTGCAAGTTGCTCTGCGTAAGTTGCTCTGCGCAAGTTGCTCTAGGCAAGGCGCTCTGCGCAAACTGGTCGGTGCAAGTTGGTCTGCGCAAGTTGCTCTGTGCAACTTGCTCTGCGCAAGTTGCTCTGCGCAAGTTGCTTTAATGCAAGTTGCATCTTGCGACGCCCGCCCGCGGACCAGGGAGGAATCGAACCCGCGACCCGCCGGTTCCGGGAGCAGGCGCGCGAACCACGAGACAACTCCCGAGGACCAGTTCGAACAACAAAAGTCGCAAAAAACCTCGAGTTTTTGCACCTCGACCACGCCGATCCCCGCAGAGGGTCGCGCGGGAACTGTAGAAATCGCAAAAAACCATGGGTTTTTGCACCTCGACCACGCCGATCCGCGCAGAGGGTCGCACCGCAGCCGCAAATCGCAAAAAACCTCGGTTTTTGCACCTCGACCACGCCGATCCCCGCAGAGGGTCGCGCGAGCATGTTAAAAATCGCAAAAAACCATGGGTTTTTGCACCTCGACCACGCCGATCCCCGCAGAGGGTCGCGCGGGAACTTTAGAAATCGCAAAAAAAACATGGGTTTTTGCACCTCGACCACGCCCCCGCAGAGGGTCGCGCGGGAACAAAAGAAATCGTAAAAAACCATGGGTTTTTGCACCTCGACCACGCCGATCCCCGCAGAGGGTCGATTTTCGTGTAGTGTCGTCGGCACTACCCCGCCGCCCTAAGAAGAGATTTTAACTCCTCGCAAGTCAATTGCACTTGCAACTTGCACTTGACTCCTTGCTTGTTTCAAGGAGTCATTGCAAGGAGTCATTGCAAGGAGTCATTGCAAGGAGTCATGCAAGGAGTCATTGCAAGGAGTCATTGCAAGGAGTCATTGCAAGGAGTCATTGCAAGGAGTCATTGCAAGGAGTCATTGCAAGGAGTCATTGCAAGGAGTCATTGCAAGGAGTCATTGCAAGGAGTCATTGCAAGGAGTCATTGCAAGGAGTCATTGCAAGGAGTCATGAGAGCCATTGCAAGTTGCAAGGAGCCAAGTGCATGGAGTCAAGCGCAAGTCGCAAGTGCACGGAGTTAAGTGCAAGTTGCAAGTGCAAGGAGCCAAGTGAAAGGAGCCAAGTGCAAGGAGCCAAGTGCATGGAGTCAAGTGCATGGAGTCAAGTGCAAGTTGCAAGCGCAAGGAGTCAAGTGCAAGTTGCAAGTGCAAGGAGTCAAGTGCAAGTTGCAATCCTTGCCATGACTCCTTGCAATGACTCCTTGCAATGACTCCTTGCAATGACTCCTTGCAATGACTCCTTGCAATGACTCCTTGCAATGACTCCTTGCAATGACTCCTTGCAATGACTCCTTGCAATGACTCCTTGCAATGACTCCTTGCAATGACTCCTTGCAATGACTCCTTGCAATGACTCCTTGCAATGACTCCTTGCAATGACTCCTTGCAATGAAATGACTCCTTGCAATGACTCCTTGCAATGACTCCTTGCAACTCCTTGCAATGACTCCTTGCAATGACTCCTTGCAATGACTCCTTGCAATGACTCCTTGCAATGACTCCTTGCAACGACTCCTTGACTCCTTGCAATGACTCCTTGCCATGACTCCTTGCAATGACTCCTTGCAATGACTCCTTGCAATGACTCCTTGCAATGACTCCTTGCAATGACTCCTTGCAATGACTCCTTGCAATGACTTTCATGATGATGATTCCTTGCAATGACACCTTGTAATGACTCTCATGAGAACAACTCAAGTGAACCCAGCGGAAGAACCCTTCGCCATGCTTTCGGGAAAAGACCCCTTTGCTTGGGGTTAGCAGGGATGGTCGTCCAAAAAAGCAACACTTCATTCCACACGACAATGATTCTTACAAGGGGAACAATGTCCCAATTCGCCACACCGGAGCTTTGCCCGTCAAGATCTGTGTCCGCCAGGCCGTGGCCAGCGAAGGTTCGCACACCCTGCCAGAGCGCCTGGCGGAGGCAGGTTTGGGGCGTGATGTCTCGAGGGCTACGTGGCTCGGGATCGGGATGGGACAAATCCAAGTCTAATGCCTTTGCTCTCAATGAGGTTGCATGGGTTTCTGGGGGTTGCTTTTTGTTTTGTGGTTTTCTGAAGGCTGAATTTTGAGGTGTCCTCTCAACCATTTAGGGAACCTTGCCTCCCGCCTCGTTGGGCGGCGGGGGCGCGGGCATGTCGGCCAGCTGCTGCGAGGGCGCGGTCAGCAAATACGCTGCCGTGATGCCTACGACGGTCCAGTCGGACTCGGGGAAGCGGGAGCGCTCGAGCGCGACCTCGAACTTCGTCCTGATGGCCGCCATCATGGTTCCGGCGCGGGCCGACGGAGGCGCGGGCCTCACGATCCACGGCGCCAGCCTGAGGAAGTAGAGCGTGAGCTCCACCCTGTCCTCGTCCTCATCGTTCGCGGCCGGGCGCGTCAGCAGGATCTGGAAGCTGACCTTGGCGAGGAAGGGCAGCCGAATTGCCAGCAGGTCTTGGAGCCGGTCCACCAGCAGCCGCATGGCATCGATGGTGAAGACCTGCTGCCCAGGAAGAGGGCGCAGCCGCAGCTCGCGGGTCCAAGCGGCCCCGCGCGGGCGCAGTTCTGTCACAGCGGCCTCGGCGCTAGGAGCGCGCGGCTCCTCCAGAGGCACCGCCCGGACGGCGCTGAGCCCCAGGCGGCCCCAGATGCGGTCAGACAGCTCGGAGATCATGGCGCGAATTGGTTTGAGCTGAATAAATTGCTTTCTATAGAAAAATAATAAAATATTCAGTCGGTCGGACGAGCGCTTCTTTTTTCTGTCACGTTCTGTCCTGGCTTCTGTTCTGTCCCGGATTCTACCGCGTCACAGCGAGTCGGTGCTGCTGCCCTGCAGGTTCAGCGCAGTGAGGAGCTCTCTGGAGGCCTCGTCCAGCTCCTTGCGCGCCTTCTCAACCCGCTCCAAGGCTGCGAGGGTTGCGCTCTTGGCCGCCAGCGAGACCGGCAGCCGCTCAGCGATCTTCTTGCTGACGAGCTGCTCCTCCACCTCGTAGAGCTCTCTCTCGATCTGCGCCAGCGAGGCGATGTCGCTCGTGCGAATGCGGCGCTGCCTCAGGGCCTCGCGCTTCTCGCGGAGCGTCTCGCAGCTCTCCTCCTGGCGCTCCTCGGCCACCGCGGGAGCGGAGCAGCGGGCCGTGCGCTGGTTGAGGCGCTTGCGAAGCTTGAGCCGAAGCTCTTGGGAGCGCTTCAGCATGTCCCTCCAGTCCTGCATGTCGACCTCCTCCGCCGGGAACCTGCCGGCGACCCCGTCAGCCAGCAGCCGCTCCAGCACGGGCGCTCCCCGAGTAAGCTCGTCATGCAGGCGGCTCACCTCCTCCAGAGAGGCTCCCCGCTTCAGCGCCTCGGCATCGACGGCGGCCCTCAGCAGAGGCCTCAGCTGCTCGCGGCGCTCAAGGACATGGGTGGCCATTCTGAATTTTTTTAATGAGCAAAAAAGGCTGCGGCATCGGAAGAAACTACAGCGGGCACTCTCGAGAAGGTGGCTCCACGCGCAGATCTGTGACCTCAAGACTCAACCCGCACATGCCGCTCATCAGCCACAAGCTGCGCGCTCTCAGCCTAACGCGCGCGGCGCAGTGAGCCAGCTCAGCGGGGCGGTCCGCAAACGTGCCGCCGGCGTTCCATTGGGTTGTTACAAGAAGATGGGGCAGGATGTGTCGTGGCTAAAGCACCTGCCACGAGGCGTCGAGGGCCACCTCAGGGTTGGACCCTGCCAGCTTACTGGCCTTTTGCCATCGAGTGCATTTTGAGGTCCACCTTGATATAGACCAAGTGTTCCCAAGGGATTCGTAGTACTGGCCCATGTTTCCAGTTGATTTCTTTTCTTAGTGTACTTGACTTTGAGATTCGAGGTTGGGCAAGTGAGGTTGCCAATGATTATCATGGCAGATCATGGCAGTAGACACCATCTGCAGGCACTGAATCAGCTAGGCTTCCCACCTGGAAATCCCAGCTCAACTCTGGCAGCCTTACCCTACAGACACACGAAGTGCAGAGGCTCCTTTCCAAGAGGAAGATAGCCTTCCGAAACAAATTTGTGCACCTCTATGTTTGTTGGAGGTAGAGTAGAACCAGATAGAAAGGCTCAAGGGTTCGTGAAAGATTCCTCGGATGCAAACAGGTTGCCTGTTGGTTCGAATAAATTGCCAGATACGGTGAAGCAGTGCCAATTGCACACACCTTCACATCCTCGTCTTTTGACACCTTGATACCCACACACGCACACAAACGCACACACACACACACACCTAGAGAGACCCACAAGCACACCTACACACCCACACACACACACCAAGCGAGACACAAAAACACACTTGCAGTGACTCCAGACACAAGAAAAGATGCACAC